TTGGGAAGGAGAATTAAGTCCTGTTTGGTGTTAGTCTCAAAGCCAAGGAGGAGTGGTATGGTAAGCAGGCGGCCCACAGGAGTTTCCACACTGCCAGGGGCTGTGGGCCAGGAACGGCCCTGGGCATGGATGGGAAGAGCTATCAGAGCACTGGTATTTTGATGGCAAACTGCTTCCCAAACTCAGGGCTGTTCTGGCAACGTCACGAGGTCACAGGCAAGGACTTCTGGGGCTGCCCACGTGCCCCGCCCCTAGGGTCGGGGTGTCAGGGTCTCAGCCTTGGAAGCGCGCCCTCGCCCCCGGGCTGGGCCTGTCCTCTCCCGGGCCCCCCGGGCTGGGCCTGTCCTCTCCCGGCCGGCCGCTCTGCCACCCTCCTGTCCCAGAGGAGCTACGCCCCGAAGCTCCTCCCCACCCGTCCCCGCTGTCCCCCTCCTTGGCTCCCGGCGGGGGCGGCGGCAGGGAGCGAGCCCCCCGAGGAAGCCCACGAAGGCGGCAGGGCTGACGGCCTGCCCCGCACGCTGGGACTCTGCTCGGCCGCCCGTCCTCGCGGGCCGGGAGCACGTGAGCAGCCCGGGGCCGAGCAGGTCCTCCCGCATTCCAGGGCGAGTGACTGGGCAGAGGGCGTGCCCGCCTCGGGCTCGGGGAGGGCCCCTGAAGGCCTGGGGAAAATCCGAGCCAGGCCCCGACCCTCCTGCCACCCTGGCCCAGCGGAGGGGACCCTGAACGTCCTTATCGCTCTCCTAGGGACCGGGGCTCCGAGACCAGGAGGAAGAGCAGACCCGGGGAGGACTTTACCAGTGTCCGGGCTTTCCAGTTGGAGAGGGTCCTGAAGCTGGAGTCACCTTTTTTGAGCGACCCGCGAACCTACCAGGGCACTGTGATGTTAATGAAGGGTGCGAGGGGAGAGACACAAATCTTAGCCCTCAGCATCATAAAAAAACTAGCTTGGGGCTGGGGGTGTAGCGGTGGTAGAGCACTTAGCTAGTGAGCCACGCCCTATCCTGGATCCTGGCTTTGCAAACAAAACACAACAAAACCAAACCAAGTACCAAGCAAAAATGAGCTAGAAGAGACTTTAGGAATTATTAAATCCAAACTGCTTTTCTTTTTCCCCCAGAACTGGGGATTGAGCTTAGGTTTTCACACACACGAGACGCCATCTACCCCTGAGCTGTATCCCCAGATTTTTAGTTTATTTTGAATTTTGTTTTGTTTTGTTTTTTGAGACAGGGTCTCGCTATGTAGTTCTTTGAACTCACTGTGTAGCCCAGGCTGGCCTCACAGTGACAGCCATCTTCCTGCCTCAGCCTCCTGAGCCCTGGGATTACAGGCATGTTCCACCACACCTGGTGCCTGGTTTTATTTTGAGACAGGGCCTTGCTAAATTGCTGAGGCTGGCCTGGAACTTGGCATCCTCCTGCCTCAGCCTCCTCAGTAGCTGGGATTACAGCTGCAGCTGTGTGCCACTATTCTCAGCTACAATCTTGTCTTTTGTTTGTTTGTTTTATTTATTTTTTTTCTGTACCAGGAATCAAACTCAGGACCTTGCGCTTGCCAGGCAGGCTCAGTGCCACTGAGCTAAACCCCCAGCCCATTATTTTGTTTTTTGAGGCAAAGCCTTGCTAGTAGTTCAGGCTGGCCTTGAGCTCCTGGCGATCCTCCTACCTCAGCCTCCCATGTTCTAGGAGTGCTGGGGTTACAGCCTGGCACAGCCTCATTCTTACAGGAAAACTGATAAGCACAATGCATACATCTGGCCTGACACCACAGACATTTGAATCTCCACCCTGTTACTCCTGGGGGGTGTCGTAGTCTGTAGGACCCAGCCCCTTGGATTTGGAATTGAGTACACAAAACTACAAATACTCTGCCCATAGAGACCAGGGCTCAGCTAGAGGCACAGGGTCCAGGAAAAAGAGCGCCTTTGCCCCTCCTTATCTAACTCAGGGGAGCCCGGGCAGCCTTGAGCCCCTCTGAGCTGCAGTTTCCTCACCTGTAACATGGGGATAACTGTACATTGCTTACCAGATATTTTGTGTGAGGATTTTTATGTTAAAAGCACTTGGCATATAGTAAAGTACAGTAATACAGTACTACCAGCGGTAGTATGTATGGGTCAATGTCATGACCCACTGGTTTTTTTTTTTGAGACAAAGTCTCACTATGTAGTTCAGGTTGGCCTCAAATTTGAGGCGATCCTCTTGGCTCAGCCTCCCTAGTAGTGGAATTACAGGTGTGTGCCACCACACCCAGCCCACTGGCTTCTGACCACCAGAGGGCACCAGCAGGTACAGATGAACTGGGTGAGGGACTGGACCAGAACTGGACTGCAGAACAGAAAAGAGTCCAAGTGGATGTAGCAGCCCCTAGGCAGGGAGGCTCCATCAGGCACCCAGGGAAGAGCTTTCAAGTGGGCTGGATCTCTCCGAAAGTCGCTGCAACAGCCTGACGCTTGGGTGGGGTTTGGGCAGACAGTGCTACGTGGCCGACGAAGTGGATGCCAGCAACTGGGCCCTGTAGCTGGGGACCCCAGAGCCCGGGTTAGGCTGGCAGCCTGGCTGGCCATACCCAGAAGCCCTGAATGTTGCCTGGGGAGCCTGCAGTCTTCAGCCTGTACCCCATTGGGTGCTGTGGAGGAAACCCCTAAACCTCAGTAACCTCCCTCCCACTGGGCCCTTTGTCCCCAGACCTCCAAACAGCGCAGCGGGCTTTCTGACCCAGGCCAGCCAGGTCTCTGTGTTCCCCCACGCCTCTTCCTCCCCAGCCCACCAGAAATTTCCCGCCCCAGAGGGCAGCCAAAAGTACAGGTGCCCATCCCAGCGACGTTCCCGCCACCTGCCCGGCCCGGTGCCCTGGGCCCAACCCCAGAGGGTGTGGGATGACAGACTCTGACAATCATTAAACCAGCCTGGCCTGATTTCCCAGCACCGCCTGCTAGGACCCAGGCCAAGTGGCACCTAATATGCAAATCACCTGGGGCCAGGAGCCCAGTCTGAAGGCCAGGAAATCCCCTCTATCCAATGAGCCAGCAGCTCAGGTTACCGCCGGGATCGCAGCAAGGGCCTGGTGCTGGGCGGAGCTCCTGCATGGCCCTATTAAGAGCGGGTGGGGGTGAGCGGCAGCCAGACTCCTCGATGCTCCCTGGCGGAGCTTACAGCCACCTGGATTTTCCTCACCTGTGACCTCCGAAGCCAGCCTGTCTGCTGACCACATCTGCGCAGGTAGGACTCCTACCTGCCGCATCCCTTTGCCCTCACCTTGGGAAACGGGTGTGGCGGCTCTGCAGTTCTGGAGGCGACCATTCTAGTCTGGAGTCTCACAGCTGGACTGAGGGTCAGGAACAGACTGTCTTGGGTGCGGACTGGGTGGCCGTGACTTGTCTGCTGTGGCCAAGGGTCCTATAATCGAGGAGGAAGCCCAGCACAAGGGGACAGTGGCCCCACTTTGCTCTGACCTCTTTTTTTTTTTTTTTTGAGACAGGGCCTCACTTTTAGTCCAGGCTGGCCTTGAACTCACTATGTAGCCCAGCCTGGTGCCTCAAAGTGATCCTCCTGCCTCAGCCTCCCAGGAGCTAGGGTTACAGGCATGTGCCACCATGCCTGGCTCCCCCCTCTCTTTCTGAGTCAGGAGCTGGCCCAAGAGTCCAGGCTGACCTTGAACTAGCAGTTCTCCTGCCTCAACCTCCCAAGTGCTGGGATTACAAGCATGTGCCCCCAGCCCTGGTTTAGACACCTTTCTTGACCTTTCCAAGTCCCTGTACCTTCCTGCCCTTTGGGACAGAACAGAGGAGAGTAGCCTGGAGTGTATGGGAGGGACCCCAACATCCTCACCAATCTTGTCCCCTCTCCTTAGGTAGCCTCATGGCTGCAACCTGTGAGATTAGCAACGTTTTTAGCAACTACTTCAGTGCTATGTACAGCGTGGAGGACCCCAGCCTGGCCCCTATTCCCCCTGTTGCCACCTTTGGGGCTGACGACTTAGTGCTGTCCCTGAGTAACCCCCAGACGTCGCTGGAGGGCACCGGTGGGTGAAGTGAAATGGGAGCCTTCTGGGCAAGGGAGACATTTGTCCTAAGAGCCTGCTGGCTGGGGGTGGAGGGGTGTAAAGGGGTGGGACCGGAGCATTGAGTCATCTCCTGCCCCTCCTGCAAGTGAGGGCCCCCGGAAATGGGGCTGTGGGTCCCGGAGTGGCCATTGCCGACCCTGTCGCTGTGCCTGGCCCGCAGAGAAGGCCAGCTGGTCTGGGGAGCAGCCGCAGTTCTGGTCGAAGGCTCAGGTTCTGGACTGGATCAGCTACCAAGTGGAGAAGAACAAGTATGACGCCAGCTCCATTGACTTCTCACGGTGTGACATGGATGGGGCCACCCTTTGCAGCTGTGCCCTGGAGGAGCTGCGTCTGGTCTTCGGGCCCCTGGGGGACCAACTCCATGCCCAGCTGCGGGATCTCAGTGAGTCTGGGCTCTGGGGCAGTAGCAGCCAAGGGCCCTGGGGCCCGGGGGAGGGTTGGCCCTGGGCTGGACCCCAAGCACGGGCTGGAGGGTACAGCCAGAGGGAGCCCCTGAGGGAGCAGTGGGAGTGACTCCTCCCCTGCGTCAGCCTCCAGCTCTTCCGATGAACTCAGCTGGATCATTGAGCTGCTAGAGAAGGACAGCGGTGTGGCCTTCCAGGAGGCGCTCAGAGACCCGGGCCCCTTCGGTGAGAGTACGTTTCCTTCCTCCCTCCCCAGCCAGAGAAGTCCCAACCCGGGGTGCGCAGATGCCTGGGAACCTCACTGTCCCTAGCGGGCCCCTGAGCCCGGGCTGAGCTCGCTCCTCTTTCCAGACCAGGGAAGCCCCTTCCCCCAGGAGCTGCCTGGGGTGATGGAGGACAGCTGCCAGGCCAGCCCTTACTACGCCGCCAGCTATGGCACTGGAGCTCCTTCCCCGGGCTGCTCCGAGGTCTCCACTGCAGGTAAGAGGCCCAGCTGGGCACAGCGCCCCTCCTGCCATGCTGCTGAGTGCCTGGCTCCCACCCGGGCCAGGGTGCGGTGCTCACTCTGCTGCCCCCGACCCAGGGACCGGCACTCCTCAGAGCTCCCACTCCTCAGACTCCGGTGGAAGCGACGTGGACTTGGACGCCACTGACAGCAAGCTCTTACCCAGAGGTGAGGCCCTGGGTCCTGGGGTCGCCCTCTGCGGTGCCTCTTCCCTGCTCCCCTAAAGCAGCCCCTCACCCCTACCTGACCTTCCTTCTGCCCGCCTTCCCGAAGACCGCTTTCCTGACTATAAGAAGGGGGAACCGAAGCATGGGAAGCGGAAACGAGGCCGGCCCCGGAAGCTGAGCAAAGAGTACTGGGAGTGCCTGGAGGGCAAGAAGGGCAAGCACGGTGAGCCCAGGGCCTGGGGATGGTGCACCGCATCCTCCCACCATGGTACAGTACCACAGTGGGGAGGGCCCAGGTGTGGGGGACCTCATTTGCAGAGGTGCTAGAGAGGAGGGGGAACTGAGGCTCAAGGGGATCTACACGTGGCAGGAGAGTGCAGGTTTTCTGCCCATATACTGCTGTGGCCAGTTCTGTCTGCATCTGGCTGCTCAGGTGGCCCTGAGGGTCCGGTGTGCTGAGACTCCAGAACCAGCCTGCTGCTGTGCCCCCCGAAGATGTTTTCTTACCTCTCTCTTGTTTCCCATATCCACACACACACAGGGGCAGGTGCTCTGGTCCTCTGGGGTTATTTTCCCAGAAAGCTGTCCCTGGACCACAGCCTGGGGCCAGTCCACCCTGCACTTGACAGGCTCACCCGGGTCTGTGTGTTGGCTCTCACCGAGGCTCTCGCCCTAGCTCCCACAGGCCTGTGAGCACTGTCTGCATCCATGGAGCAGACAGCTGAGCCACGTGACACAGCCAGGCCCCGGGGTGGGGGTGGGGCGGGAGATGGCCACCTCGGCACCCTGGAGGCTTGGCCTGCGCTCTGGCCACTCACTGGGGTGGGCAGGACCGGCTGGGGACCCCTGGGAACCAGCTAATGGCAGTCGTCCTTGCAGCCCCCAGAGGCACCCACCTGTGGGAGTTCATCCGGGACATCCTCATCCACCCAGAGCTCAACGAGGGCCTCATGAAATGGGAGAATCGGCATGAGGGCGTCTTCAAGTTCCTGCGCTCTGAGGCCGTGGCCCAGCTTTGGGGCCAAAAGAAAAAGAACAGCAACATGACCTATGAGAAGCTGAGCCGCGCCATGAGGTGGGTGAGCTGGCGCTGGGATGATGCCAGCCCTGTGATGATGTTGTTGGCGCTGCCCTGCCCTGTCCAGCCCCTGCTGGCTACACGTGACAGGTGTGTCCCCAGGGTGAGGAAGGACAAGGGCGACCTGGCCTGGGCCTGTTCAGTGGACCCCGTGACAGCATGGAGGAAGCATGGGACGGGCGGGCATGGGAGAGCGCCCCAAGAGAGATGCTTAGGGCCACTGGGGCAGAGCAGCTCATCTCTAGGGTCCCTTCCCATCCTACGTTCCTGTGCTGCAGTGAAAAGCCTCAGAAGGGCAGGGATTTAGCTCAGTGGTGCTGATGCCCAAGCGCAAGGTCCTGGGTTCCAACCCCAGTACAAACAAGAAAGCCTCAGGACCCACCCATGAGATGCAGTGGAGCAAGTACAAGCTGGGTGGGGTGGTGCACACCTGTCAGTCCAGCACCCTGGAGGCTGAGGCAGGAAGATCAAAAGTTTGAGCCCTGCCTGAGTAAGTTAGCAATTTAGCAAGACCCTGTCTCAAAAATTTAAAAAGGCTGAGGATGTAGCTTGGGTGAAGGCCCTGGGACCAATCCCCTGTACTGGGGGGGAAAAAACAAATGTAGAGGTAGGAACCCTGGACATGATGCTAGGCCAGCATGGTAACAGCAGGTGAGAAGAGAATGAAGGGAGTTTGGGCCAGGCTCAAAGCCAGAGAGGCAGCTCAGCCCAGGACTCATGGGCCCGATGGGAGGTGCCGGCACCTCTGACTGCCTCTGACCACCTCGCCCCCACCCAGGTACTACTACAAACGAGAGATCCTGGAGCGAGTGGATGGCCGGCGGCTGGTCTACAAGTTCGGCAAAAACTCCAGTGGCTGGAAGGAAGAAGAGGTTGTGGAGAGCCGGAAGTAAAGGTCTGGACTAGACCTAGGACCAAACCCACAGACTGGACCGGGGCCACAGGTTCCTGGAGGACCAGCAGGCCGGACGCCCCTCCCCACCTCTAGGACACGCTCCCTGTGTGCTGCTATGAGAAGCTGAAGGCTGGCGAGTGGCAGAGCCCTGGACTGCCTCCTGGCCTTGGAATACAAGCTCTGGGATCCAAAGTGACTTTCGCCAGTGTGGCTCGTCATGATCCCAATGCTGGCTGTGGACGAGGCCTTCCTCCTGCCTGGACTCGGCCAAGGAAGATGGGAGGCCGAAGGGGAGTGCGCTGGGACATGGGACAGGGCTTCGGCCTCAAATATCTTCCTGGATTGGCTTCCACACCTCCCTGCTCAGTGCTTGGGCTCCACAGGCGGGGGTCACAGCATCCCTAATTTATGTGCTATAAATGTCAGATGTACATAGAGATCTATTTTTTCTAAAGCATCCCTCTCCCCACACCTCCCCTCCAAATGCTGGGGGCCAGCGGAAGGGGGAGTGAACCCTGCCAGAACCCTCAGGATGGGGTCCTGGTTCCTTTCTCCTGTGAATGGAGGCAGAGTCCTCCAATAAAGTGCCCGCCGGGCTTTTTCTAACCTATCTCAGCTGTCTGTGGATGGGTGTGGTTTTCTCGTGGCAGGAGGGTGGGCTGGGAATGGGACAAACAAGCAAGGTGGCTCAGACAGAGCTTGTGAGACTTCACACAAGCAAGGGCATGAGCAGGGAAAGCTGAGAGAGGGGGCTGGGGCTGCCACTGCACATGGGCACCGTGACCCTGGCAAACTCCTGGGGCTGCTTCCTCTTGTAAGGCAGAGGTTTGGACCTGATGTTCTCCAAGAAGTCTAGAATTGCATGTCCAGCCTTGTGGAATAAATAGATGCTTTTGCATCCCAGCCAAGTTGGCTTAGAGCTGAATATCTGTAATACGAATCCTGGCTTTTGTGTCTAACATGAAATCAACGTTCTGATCTTGTAAAGGGAAAAAACAAAGCAAAATGGAGATGAGTACTTGATGGGAAAGGAGGGAGGGAATTGATAATTGTTGACAGCCAGTCTTCTGACAAGCGCTGTGCTGAACACCATCTTGCCTTGTTCCATCCCTTCCTAGGGGAGAGCTTTCTCATTTCCGGTCCGCAGATGCAAAGTGAGGTTTGGTAGAGGCACCTTGGCTCTGTCCTTTGGCCTATCCCTGGGAGCTCCTCTGACGTCACCGACTTGGAACTTCCTCAGCAGATTCCAGAACTGTTACTCTTCCATCCACCGTGAATAGTGTGGTTTTAGCGAGGATATTTCACCGGAGGGACCATCTGGAGGGCTACTTAGGAAGAGTAGCTTTCAGGTGGTGGAGTTTGCAGCTTCAAATACAGGGCACGTTCAGCCATTTTGTAAATTTAAAATATTGATCAATTGTCTTGGAAATACCAGATTATTCACTGAAGGGATACAAATAAAACAGATTTATTTGAGTCAATGGTGGAATCTTGAAAGAACCTTGAATCTTCTGGAGCCATTATGTAAAAGGCAAAAGATTTATACAATCTGAAGAGAAACCAGAGTATGGAGCCATTTTGGAAAGTGGTGTCCTTAACATTTCCCTTCTGTAGTGGAAACAAGTTAGCCAAAGAGGGCAGCGGCCTAGGTTGGAGGCTCAGCCAGCCTGGTCCTGTGCTGACCAAGCCATTGAGCTCAAGCTGCTCTGGCACCCAGAGCCTGAGAGTGACCTCACTTCCTGAGAATCTGTGCATGCTACATGGTGTGCTAGCTTCATGTTATCTCCAGGGCTTACACGCCAAAGAGGCGAACCAGTGCTGCCTAAGGTCACCTGGCCAGGAAAGGGTGATAGGCTTTTGGAACCCTAGACACATTTACTGAGCCGCTGCTCGTCCTGTTTCTTCAGCTCCAAAAAGAAGATTCTGGGAGGCCCTTTCAAGTAGAGGGCCTGTGGGGCAGGAGTGGGGAGATGGAGCCAAGCTCCTTACAGGTTTGGGATGCCGGGCTGACCTTCGTCCTGCTGTTTCCTGTTTATGAGTCCCTTTCTTCATCCCACTATCTCACTGAATCTGCCTCAGCCCTCTGAGGAGACTGGGTGTCCCCATTTTACCCAGGAGGCCAAAGTCTGGCCCCAGGTCATTGGCCAGGTGAGAATGGGGACCAGAACCCAGCATTCCTTTGGCGAGCCTGGGGGAAAAACCAGGCCTGGGGACACATTTCTTCCCCAAATGTCTCCTCAACCTTGCTCTCTACCTGCCTCTCCGCCCCTTAGGATGCAGTGAAGACCAGCACAGAGCTGTTCCTCAGCCCCCTCCCCAGGGCCTCTCTGGGGACCCAGCCATCCTCCTCCCAGTTTTCAGAGGCCCAGGGAGGGGCCTGGGAATGGACCCCCACCCAGAGGTGGACCCGCCTCACCTACCTGCCCTCGGGGCCTGCCCTGCTGGGGTGGGGGTGGGGCTGGGCTGTTTATATCCCCGCCCTGAGCTGCTGCTCACCTCTTATCAAGTCCTGGGGGACTGGGTGTGGGGCTGTGCAGGTTGGAGGGAGGTCACTCCTCCAGCTCCATGTCTGGGTGTGCCCCAGGGGGTGGGCTGGGCCAGGGGGCTGGGCCTGTTCCCAGAATCCCACAGCCCCACCCCTCGAGCCAATTCAGGGGAAATCTAGCTTCACAGGCCTCCTGTGAAGTAGGTGAAGAGGTGGGATATTTATTATAGGGCTTATTTCAGTCTGCTCCTTCTTTCCAGTTATCTGTTTACACATCTCGCTCCCGTACTGGGTTGGTTGTGAGGCCCCCTAGGCAGGTGCAGGACTCACTCCTCTCAGCTTCAATCACACAGCTTCCTGCCACCCGCAGAGAGGCCATGCAATATCAGTATCTGCCAAACTGCCCTGGGACTCCCTGCCCCAGGCCCCTGTCCACTCCCCTGCCCCTCGGTCTCTGTCTCTCTCTCCTTGGCCCCGCATTCACATACCCATACCATGCAGACACACGCTCTCATACACACACTGGACTCTCACACACTCATGTACACTCATGCACATCACTCACACACGCAAATACACTACAGGCAGAAGATGCTGCTCAGTGGTAAAGCTTGCCTAGCGTGCTTGAGGCTCCAGCAAAATAAAAAGTGCAAGCCCACTCACAATCCCTCATCACACTACACACGCTCACGAGCTCCCACTCACATAGGACGTAATTTCACACACACACACACACACACACACACCACACACGCAGCACGGCCAGATGCAGCCGGTGGTTATGCTGCCCATCTGCTCCCCGGGCCATTGCCTGGCCTCCTTCTGCCTCTGTCATCGGGCTCCACCCTGGCCTCCAGTCCAGACCAGCTACAGGGCCCAGTGAAAGGTGCAATCTCGTGCCCTTTAAAAGTTATTTAAAATGTCAAAATGGTGGCAGCAGAGACTCAAGCCCGCCTCGATTCCCTGAGGTAGTGCAGGGCCCTGGAGCCAGAAGCCAGCTTCTCCGTGAGCCCCTGGCCCCAGAGGGGTTCCAGGAGCCACCCCACCTATGACAGCTGGGTTTAGAGCAATCACCTGACTGGGCCCAGGCAACGCCTTGGAGAGCACTTGGCTGTATCATGAGGCCCTTCGGTGCATCCCCAGCACAAAAAACAAAAATCACCACACAAGTTGTCAGTGTTTTAGGCTCAGTAAAATTTCCATAGAAAAACAGCTGAATTTTTGGCGTCTTTTTAAAATCTGAGAAGATCTGGCCAAGTTGAACCAGTTCTCCCACTGCAGCATAATGTGCCCAGGTGAGATCATGCTGGGCCAGGCACAGTGGCCCTCATCTATAGACCCAGAGGCTGTGGAGGCTGAGGCAGGAGGATTGCTTGAGCCCAGGAGTCCAAGGACAGCCTGGGTAATGTAATGAGATCCCATCATGAAACAGGGGCAGAGAGGGAGAAAGAGGGAGAGAGAAAGAAGGGGAGGGAAAGAGGGACAGAGAAAGAGGGAGCAGGGAAGAAAGATGGAGAAAGAAAGAGAGGGAAAAGAGAAAGAGAAATGCAGAAAGTCAGAGACAGGAAGGAAGGCAAGGAGAGAGAGAGAGAACGGAAGAACAAAAGAAAGAAAAGGAAGGGCTGGGGATTTAGCTCATTGGTTCTGCTACCTGCCTCGAAAGTTAAAGGACCCGAGTCTGATCCCCAGTAAAAAAAAAAAAAAAAAAAGGAAAGAAAGAAAAGGAATCATGCAGCTTGCTGTGTAGTCTCCATGCATCACCTTTGCCACCACCAAGTACCTGGGTGGCCCCGGGTGTGTCCGTGCCCTCCACCTCCTGCTTCATTCTGGGAGCATGTGTGTTCTCTCTACCCGCTCTATTTGGCAAAGTGATGGTCTGTTGAGGATGGGAATGAACATGAGTGCTGGGGCTGGGGCTGGAGGGCAGTCACACTCCTGAGACCAGAAACCTCGGAAGCTGAGGGGAGCTCCCTGCAGCCCCTGCTACTTGCTGGGAAGTGATTTTCTCTCACCTACAAGACAATTCTTAGCACAGCTCAGTGCACAGCATATTATGGGCCTCACACGCCCCGGGGACCTCTGCATGAGCTTCTGGGTGAGGCCAGGGATGTCACCCCTGCCCAGCAGCCCGGCTCATCCGCAGCCTTCTTTGCCTGCTGACAGGACTTCATCTGTCCTGGCAAAGCTCTGCATGTATCTTCCCAACTGCTGCGACACCTTCAGGGAGTGTCCGCCTCATAACCACTTTCCAGCAATCTGCAGAACATGGCCCAAGACCTAGAAGGAGAACTCCCATTATACAGGAGAGGGACTGAGGCTCGGAAAGGGAGGGCCACATAGCATGCTGTTACAGGCCACAAAGCACACAGCACGCCGAGCCAGGGCCTGCACCTAATATAACACCTGGTTTCTGACGAGCACCTGCCATTGCCGGGCAAAGTGTCAGGTTATTGATTTCCGTACATCCTTCATTCATTCTCCATCCTCTGGGTGACTGGCTCTAGGCAGGTGCAGGGAAGTAGTCATCCAGGAACAGGAGGTCTCGAATGGACCCCAAGGAATTTCAGACTCTTCCATAAACCTTCTAACAAGACTCCAAGGCAGAGGATGAGCACTTTGTTTCACAGATGAGGAAACTGAGGCTTTACGGAGGGTAAGAAACAGCTCAGGCTTTCAGAGCTTTGTGGTTTAGGAAAACAGTCCTTGAAACTTGTCTTCCTGGCTGTCTTTGTCAACCCCATAACTGACTCTGCTTGAAGAGATGCCAAGCAGTCCGAATGTCTCCGTGCTGTGTAGCTGCCTGGAATCCCACCTTGGGTGTGCAGAAATTTGAGAAGGGTCCTGTTGACCTACAACAAGGGTGGGGTGGATTCAATGAGTGCTGCTTTCAGGGATGCTTGATCCCTTGGGAAGGATGGGAAGTGTGTTTTTGGTTCCTGAGAACTTCAGGGTGGCCAATGCTTGCTCCCCCTCCCCTCTCCCTCCCTCCC